CGCTGTGACACTAGGAAACCTAAGAATTTTCCTGAGACTACACCGAATGCACTCTTTTCGGGGTTTAGTTTCATTCCATATTGCCTGAGTATGTCGAAGGTTTCTCTCAAGTGATCAATGTGATCTTCTTTTCTTTTGGACTTGACCAGCATGTCGTCTATGTAGACTTCCATTATCTTGCTGAGTTGATCCTTGAAAATTCTTATTACCAACCTTTGGTACATTGCCCCTGCGTTTTTCAATCCGAAAGGCATAACTCTATAGCAGTACGTTCCTTGATGGGTGATGAGATTGGTTTTTTCCAGATCTTCCTCTTCCACGAGGATGTGATTGTGGCCTGAGTAAGCGTCCAAAAAACTCAGCAGTTCGTGCCTGGCCGTTGCGTTGATGAGTTGATCGATATGAGGTAATGGGAATGAATCTTTGAGGCATGCTTTATTTAAATCTGTAAAATCTACGCACATTCGCCACTTCCCATTTTTCTTTTTCACCATCACCACATTGGCAACCCATTGGGGGTATTTTGACTCTCTGGCGGAGCCATTTTCCAATAGCTTTTCGACTTCTTCACGTACTGCATCGTTTATCGCGGAGTTGAACTTATGCCTAACCTGCCTCACCGGAGGTAGAACGGGTCGACGTTCAGTTTGTGTGTAGCGATTTCTTTTGGGATACCTAGCATATCTACATGGCTAAAAGCAAACAAGTCTACGTTAATAGTTAAGAATTGATAGAATTTACCAGTTTCTTGAAGCTTGCAGCCGATGTAAGCTTTCTTGCTATGGTTGTTGTCATCTATTGGATGGGGTCGAGATCTTTTATGGCTTCCACCATTTCAGGGTCTCTGATGACGTCTTCCCTTTCATCGCAGCTCGACCTCGATCCTGTTAATTGCTATGCCTCTTTTGCATTGCTCTTCATTTGTTGAGTGGTTGTAGAATCCAGGGTGATGCGGTAGCATTCTCGAGATGTGTGTTGTTCTCCTCATATACTGAATATTCCTCATAGGGTTGGAAATTTGATGACTTGGTACAAGCTGGAGGGGATGGCCCTCATGGTGTGTATCCATGGTCGTCCTATTATGATGTTGAATGCCATGTCCTGGTCCATGATATGGAATGTGGTTTCCAACGCGCCAGGATGGGGAGTTTAATTTCTCCAGATGTTCGTTCAACTGCATTGTTAAACCCTGTTAGTGTGATACAATGCGACACTATCAGTTCCATTTAAGCAAGTACTCGAGGGTGGATGATGCATGCGCCACTCCCATCGTCTACCATAATGCGTCTCACATATGTATCTAAAATTCGTAAAATGATAACACGAGCATCGTAGTGAGGGAAAGCCAAACCGTGGGTATCTGACTTATCGAAGATGATACTTTCTTCGAGTTCGTCATACCGTTCGTGGGTGATCGACCGTTTGAGACTATGGGTTGTGGTGAATTTTACGCTATTTATAGAAGCGTTGTCGCCGCCGCCGATGATCATTTGTATGGTACGGGTTGGTGAGGGCGGCTTCGGCGGCCCCTGATGCTGTTCGCGTCCTCTGGCGAAGTTGGTCCTTCCGCGGTCGCTCAGTAACTCCTTGAGGTGTCCTTATCGAAACATGTTTACGACCTCCTATCTTAGGGCAATGCAGTCCTCGGTTTTGTGCCCTCGTTCTTGGTGGAACTCGCAAAATGCGTCCGACTTTCTAGTGTTTGGATCTGACCTTATCTTTTGTGTCCACTCGAATGTTTCAATGGAATGTGTGGGCAACTGTGAGTACCAAGTTAATGCTCCTCCGGTGAGGGTTTCGCCGAATTTTTTCAACAAGATGGAGGATAAATGTTCTTTGGCGAGGTCGTTGCCTTTTACAGCAGTGATATAGTGAGTCACATGGTCTTCGGGATCTGTCGTGCCATCATATATTTTAAGGTAGGGCGGAATTTTGAAGGTATTTGGTATGGCATGCGGGGCGGTTTCATCACTGCATGTTTTCTCGACAAACCGACCAACACCTCTCTTTTGAAAGAGTTCTGGGGCACCTGGTATTTTGTCGACCCTTTCTTGGTGCTCTCTCATTTGGTCCCTAAGCACTCTGTCCTCGTTCTCCATTCCCTCGATCTTTTTCAAAATGGCTGTGAGTGTGTCGTCGCCTGCATTATTAACAGTGTGAGTAATACTTGTTATTGAAGGGAAAGGGCTATGCTGCTCGACCGTTGTCGATGTAACGCGAGTCCTTGCGGTTTCTATGACTGTATCCTGAGCGGGCTTATGGAGGATGCTGGTTAGCGTGTCAGTTAGCCAAGCCTCAAGGAGCTTTTTCACTGCTGGTGGCGTCTCTTTCGTCATGGATGTGAAGGCTCCTTTACCGCAGGACGTTGCGATACTGCCATGAGGGAGAGGCGACCCGCCTCGCCTGGGAGAGGCATTAGGCGTTATGTCCTCGCCTTCTGTTTCAGAGACCTCATTGATGGTGTTCAAGAGATTGGTGGTGAGGCCAGTCATTACCCTCGTTCTTTCTTCTCTGTTACCTGCCATATCAGATCTGTGTGTACAAGGAAAAGGAATTTCGTTCTTTTTTGTTAGTAATCCGTGCTAGTTGTAGATATAGAAGAAACTAAAAATCTAACTAGGAAATCCCCACGGACAACGCCAAAATGTTTGACCAAAAAAGAATAATATATACTTTTAGTTAAACTTTTAATTTTTATGTAACGAAGGGTTAAACCTAGTTAGTGATAGTGTCTTTAGATTTAGAACTTGGCAGTACAAGTAATATGGGATAACGTTAATGATGAACTGGAATCAGTGCACATTTAATATTCCAAAAGTTGTGAGCAATAATGGAGGAATATCAAGCAATAAATAACAATAAATTATATTTATGTAAATAAGGAGAATGATTCACCCAATAATGAATGAGGTGGATGATTCTTCCTTTTGACAATGATAAAAGACAGGCAAATCCTAGCATATTTGAACTATTCTCGGATCTGATGGAATAGTATGGAATAATATGAGCAAGAATCTTGATGAAAAGGTAGAATTTGTATTTTTGTCAGAGAGAGAATCTTCTTCTCAAAAAGTGTTCTTATCAAATGAATATCACACGCCTTATCCCCTTATCCCTTTTTTTATTTATACAAGACATATCCCTAACAACCCTAATAGTACTAATGAAGAGAATATCCCAGGGAATATTCCTTTCAATGTCTTATTTCAAATAGTGACCGTTACCGCTATTGGCACATGAACAATCGATCTCGGCCATGGTTAACTCCTCGGTCACGAACCTTGATGCTTCCTAGTCGACCTCGGCCGATCTCTTCTGTGACACCACTTTACACTTAATTTCCTCGGGGCAGATTTTGGCCTATACAATATTCCTATATGATATGATAAGAGGCAGCAGTACAAACTAAGTGGCCAAGTATAGGACAAAAAAGAATAAATATGAAATCTTTAAGCAAACGCCACAACCGAAAAATAGGCTAGTTCATAAAATCAATAGGCCGTGCTAGCCTTTGCTGTAATTACTTTTCCCATAGGTGAAAAAACAAAGGAATCGTTCTTGCTTGAAAACGATTGCCAATACGGTTGTTGGTACATGTCTTTATTCAATATAAATTCGATCTGAGTTCTTGAAATTAGAATAAATTTGAAAAATCGCGAAATCTTGATGATATTCTCTATCTAACAAATGAAAAGCCTGCAATATATAACTATTAATTAGAAGCGGTGAACCCTAAAACTGTTCAAAATAATGATGCTTTTAGGTAGACGAATTTGAGTAATGATGCACATAATAGCCTGATTTGCTGTCACTTATTCTACAAAGCAATTTAGAACGCCTATCTGAATGCCTTGGAAATGATTAGGTTTTTCTCCTAGTAGGCAGAAAAAAACTTTACACCAAATCACAGTAATGATCTATCAAATTTAAGTGATTAATTTTCGGAGCGATACATCAATGGCAATCCAATTAATCATTTGAAGCAAAATCTAACGTTTACAATACCAGAAAAGAGTTTTGCAGCAGCGGAGCCGCATTGGCCAAAGGTGGTCAATTGAATTCCAAATCTAACATTAACAATACCAAATGAGAGTTCTGCAGCTGCGGAGACATTGGTCAAGAGTGGTAAATTAAATTCCCTTTGCTAGAAAATTTTATAGGTAATTTTTTTTATGTATACATATATTGATCGCTGAATCTTAATTACGAAATGAAAACTTTTATAGTATAGTAGCAACAAGGATTCAAAAAATACTTCGATCATAGGTTCCACTCTTAACTGTGACATTTAGTCACTACAAAAGAAAAAATTACAATTAGCTTAACTTCGCTCGTAGCTAAAAATATTTCTTAATAATCCATCGCTAAAGAGGATTAGCAACGATTTTTTTTTGTTTAGTTATAGAATATATCCGTCCTTAATTCCTGTTTCCTGTTTTTTTAGTAGTGAGTGCTTTTGAATTTTGTCTCGAATCCGTAGCTAATTCCTGTTATTTTTAGTAGTGAGTGCTTTTTGAACCCCTTTGTCTCGAATCCTGCCTGCGCCCCTAGGTTTGCTGGCTGTCCAACAAATTACCTCCCTCAATAAAAAAGTACTGCGGTAACAAGGAGTAAATTCAATAGGTGATATAAAAACAAATAGAAACAAAAGTCATCATAAATGATCTTCATATTCCTTGTACGTAGGAGTGGCAAACAGGCGGGGCAGATCGAATATGATTCGGGTCGAAAACAAGTAATGAAAAAATAGATAAATTCCGACCTGACCCATATATAATACGGATAAAAAACGGGTTAATCGGCGGATAATATGGATAACCATATTATCCATGACTTCTTGCATATGATCACTTTTGGGAGGATTCTTAGTCTCTCTAACTTGAGGAACCCCCAATTTGAGGCTTAACAAATATAAAAAGTAGACCCATTGGTTAATCATTTTCTAAATGGATAATATGGTTCTTATCCATATTTGACCCATTTTTTAAAAGTTCATTATCCAACACATTTTTTAGTAGATAATATAGGTGGTTAACTGTTTTCTTTTAACTATATGTCACCCCTACTTGTACTATGTTAATGTTATGGATTGTCACGTTCTTCTCTCTCATGCAATAATGCTAGGTCACGTTAAAGTCGAAGTCTTTGAGGCCAATAAAAGTAGCTTCATCTGTCAACATAAACTTTCCCCATTATGTACGAGAAACCTATCAAATTGTAGTATCTTTAGCTCATCTTTAATCCAAATCCTGTTCTCCACTTACCAGACTTCACATAGAAGCAGAAAGGTATGGAACTTTGTGGTCCTCACATATTCTTTCCCCTCTCTTTCACCTTTATTTAAGTGTCACTTTATTCATCTTCTCATATTCTTGTGCTCCTCTCTAGTTTTTCCCAACTAGTTTTTTTTTCCTCCTCAAAAAGATGGAAACTAGCAAATGGGAAGAGAAGAGAAGCATGATGGAAGAGGAGGATGACGAGGAAGACGAAGATGTTGTAGAGGACAACAAAAGGAAGAGGGTCTTGACTCGCTCGGGAAGGAAGGTACCTGGCGGAGAGGGTTCAAAGCTGCCTTCCTGTCAAATTGAGGACTGCACTGCAGATATGGCAAATGCCAAGACATACCATCGCCGCCACAAGGTCTGTGAATTTCATGCAAAGGCTCCGGCAGTACTTATTGGCGGACTCCGACAGCGTTTCTGTCAGCAATGCAGCAGGTTCACAACTCTAAATCTTTCAATAGACATTTGAGTTTAACTTCTATACACCGATGACATCACCTAAAAGATAATTACAAGGAACTGCCCATACACTTGGAAAATAAGGTAGGCAATTTGCTACAACAGGTTAAATTACACAGTGCTTGTGTTGTCTTAAAATGCAGTTATATGCGCTTAGAACACACACAGCCACTAGGCATACAAACAAGCATTTCAATTAGCCGGTGACCACAAAACAGGATAACTTTAGCTAAAGCCCAAATGCATCTACATCAAAGAACATTACCTTCAAGAAGAACAAAACCGGAGTGGCACAAAGTTGCAACGCTGATAATCCTCCTCACATGTTATGCTTCAGGGATATCATTTTATTTAAGATAACAATATATTCTTCATGAAAAGCTCAATTTTGAGTCTATAGAGTAGGTAGCCTTCAGATTCACATTGCATGGAACCAAAGCCAAATCAAACAACTATGGGGGCAGCCCGGTGCACTAAACTCCCGCTATGCGCGGGGTCCGGGGAAGGGCCGAACCACAAGGGTCTATTGTACGTAGCCTTACCCTGCATTTCTGCAAGAGGTTGTTTCCACAGCTTGAACCCGCCGTGATTTCCTAGTCACATAACAACAACTTTACCAGTTACACCGAGGCTCCTTTTCCAAAATCAAACAACTATAATAACAGTAATTTCTTTTGTATGAATTTCATTGTGCTCAGTGCTGCTTTAAATTCAAAGGAAAGTGCATTCTAAATCAATAAAACTAGAATGGAGAACAATCTGTTTGTCGAGTCTCAAAATGGGGATTCTTTGTCTTCCCCTGCTTTTATTCGGCAGGCAGGAAATCTGGACCGAAGATACTGACAGGATAGATATCTGAACCTCCTAGGTAAGGTTGATTGCATCTGATACTAGGGTATTTTCAGAAGGTATCTTCATTTCCTATAAAGAGAGAGAGAGAGACAAAATATTACCACTATAGAGAAAAATAATTTCTCTACTCTCAAACAGGGTTTATTCTTGTCAGCCAATTTTTATTCCAAAAGCAGGAGATAGGCTTGATTCAACTAATATTGGGGTATGCTAAAGAAGATTCACCCATTTCGCACGGATTTTACTGATCTTCTAATCAGCTGCTTTCAAGTTGCAAACTCTAGGCATAGGTAAAAATTAAGTACTGCAAACTCACCATCGTCTGACAACTGAAGCATAAAAACTGAGTAAGAACCAACAGTAAGACAAAGAAATAAGCAAGGGCAAAGCTTTTTTCTTCCTAGAGCCCTTTCCCTTAGTGACTAGAATGGAACCAACCAGATCTTTATTTACGGTCTTTTTTCTTGCTCTATTTTGTTGCAAGGATGTTGTAACTTGGTTCTCTTGTGTCCTCTCAGACCTTTTCTGCGGAAATTCATTTCTTTTGTATCATGAATTTATAATATGCAGGTTTCATCAGTTGGGGGAGTTCGATGAAGCAAAAAGAAGTTGCAGGAGACGTTTGGCAGGCCACAACGAACGCCGTCGTAAAAGTTCATGTGATTCTCCTGGAGAAGGGTCAAGTTAAAGGGGCATCAGTCCAATGGCAGTAAAACCACCTACTTGTGGACTGATGGAAAGATAAACTCCCACCAAAAAATATAATCACGGTTTACCATGCTCGCTCTCTTCTGTCACTAGCCTTTTTAACAAAAATTATCATGTAAGGTATGCATTGAGTAGTAATTCCATTTCGCTTGAAAGGAAAGGAGTATGAAAGTGTGTGTCATTAACTTTGTCTGTTAGTACTTCGATAGTACGTAGACTGAAAATATAATTATGCTGTGTTACATATCGATGCTGCTTGAAACCTTCCCTCTTGACAGGCCATCTCACACTTACAAAGTTTCTTTATTTTTTCTAATTATCATCACTCTCACAGAACTAGAGACTAGTTTAAAAATGCTTTCCACCTCATGCAACAAAACAGCACTCAATGAGCATCACAAAATATAAACTCTGTGTCAGAAACAGGTAGAATTGACCTGTTCAATTAGGCATATAGTTAGTATTCGACCCTACTGAAGCAGATTGGAGTATGCAAGACCGTTTTTCATAGAATATATCACCAATATTGCAGCTAATAATGTTGTGCAATAAAGCTTAAGAAGAACACTCCAACTTCAATTAACTTTGACCAATAACCAACCACATTAATCAAGCTACGATACTACCTTTGGTCCTCCGAAGAGATAAAGGAAAAAATAACGTGAGAGAACCACAAAGCATAATTAAAGATGCTCGGATTATTTCATTAAAAAATAGCATGCTTGTGCCAAATTAATAGTGCGATGGTGAGTGCACATCAAAAGAATCATGGAGTAATCTTGCCACGAGCCTCTAAAGCTTTAAGCCAGCAGGCAACCAGAATAGTATTGGCAGCAGTCAAGATATCTTACTAGTTCAAATCACGCTTGATTCCCAACAATTTGGCAGACAGCTCCCATGCGACAATTGCAGCTGCATTAGCAGGAAAAGCTCTGACAATTGTAGGACCTAGACCCGTATAGCATCCTCTAAGACCGGATCTCCCATAAATCTACAATAATAAACTGAATCAGGCATTTCGTGTAGTATTTCAAGTTCCAAAATACAAGAGATTATGGTAACTACCGATTTTAAAATGCGAAACGGATTTCTCGTATGGTTTTTCTCTGGGGTAGTCTGAATTATAGTTTTTGCTACATCCAAGGGCAGAACTGCTGACCAACACTGGAAAGGGCAGATGCACAAATTAATTGTGGATAGAGCATCACATGGAAAGTTTACAAACAGTACAGAACAAAACAAGGACAAGAGGTAGGCTAATCAAGTAATATTACGAGGAGAAATCATAAAGAATGTGGTAATTCCAACAAGCGTACTCACTGCTATACCACCAAGACCACCACTCATTATTCCAACTCCAACATCAACCAGGTGGCTTGACTCAGAGGAAGCACCTTTCCGTCGTAGATGCAAGTGATAACGAACATATTCATATGTACTAAAGAAGACAGCGTTTCCCAAAGATTCTCTTAATAAAGTCGTGAAGCCTCCTCGAAATATGCCTGTGAGCTGGAGAGGTTGTTTGTCAGCTTAAACGTACACCAGAAGCCAAATTTGCATCGATCAAAAAATTTCTCACCCCTTCACTTTTTACAGTTTTAACAGCACACTCAAGTGGACCACTATATCTACTGGAGCTTGGTACCACAGAATCAGCACCTTGAACTTGCATCCTACACTGGAAATAACAGATATAACAAGGATGATACTTTCCAAGTAATTCTACAGCAGGATGTTATGAACTCTCGCACCACTTACCTTCACCAGTTCTGATGGGCATAGAATGAAGCTGATAATAGCTCCTCCAAAGGCAGCTGAAGGAACTATTGCACGAGGCAGGGGCTTACCTCCATCTGGTCCACCCTTTAAAGCAAACACCAAATGTTCGTCATTAATAACAAACTGCTGAGATGTTGTCACAAAAGTGCCAAAGTTCCAAGATACACGTTAATGGTTCTAAGAGCAGTTGGCTTTCAACATATACTAGTATCTGACAATCTTCAAATTGAAAGACACAGCAAAATCATCGCTGGATGAACGTTGAACAAACCTGCAGCAGTAGTTTTGTTTGGGAGTAAATACCAAATACAAGTGAGCTCTCAAAGGCCATGCCAATGAACGAAGATGTAGCTCCTCGATATAGCCCCTTAACCTGACACAGAAAATCTTTATCAGCCCAGGTCCTTCAGAGCCCTGAATCCCTGTGCCACACAAGAAGAAAAAAGAACAAAAGAAAAGAAAAAAGATAATTGCAGCATAGACAACAAAAATCGACTTTTTCTGGTGTACTCAATAAAAAAGGATATAAGATAAGGCTTACAGGTAAAAATATTATCTCAATTTATTTGAAGAAACAGAAACTAGCTTCTTGTATAAACAAGAAACAGCATTTGGTGGCAATTTTACTTGACAAACGGTCAAACCGGCATAACTTGGCATTTATGTAAAAGAGCCTCAAGTGAGCTCTGTTTCCTCAGATCTGTTTACGTGCTACTTCAGTAACCAGAAACTTTAGACATATCTTCAGCGGAATAAGCAAATACGATCATACACGCATGAATATAAATAGCGCAAGTAAAGATATATCACATTTAGTATATAGAAGACAAGGCTTATCGAAAAATGTGGATGGATTGAACATAATGGGATCTTTCAACATCAGAAAAGCATTTAAGTACAGAGATTACACGTTCTACCAACTAAACAACATTAATAAACAGAACAGGTAAAGCTCAAAGTTGGATCTAGGAAGAAGTTGAGAGGCATACTCCTTCAGTTTGTAATATTCTAGCAGCACAATGCAATCCATTATTGTACTTTATTCCACGAGCTTCTGTATTGTGTTTCTGGAGCTTTACCTGACAAATACATTTCACTTAATTCAATAGGCAGACCCAGAGAAAGTTACAAGAACCTCTAACGCCTGCACAAGTATATAGTATATGATACTATTAAGATCTTCAGTAAGCATAAAGGTGACATTCAGAGGGGCAGATGTAGTGTACACCTGCTAGGTTCATACTAATGGTGGCAAAATGGATAAAAAATAGTTATCCATCAGAATCGTCCACTAAAAATTGGGTTGGATAATGAACTTTTTAAAAATGAGTCAAATATGGATAAGATCTATATTATCTACTTTAAAATGGATAACCAGTGGGTTTAACTTTTACATTTGCAAAGACTCAAATTGGATTTTCCTCAAATTTGGGAGACTAAAATTTCTCCCAAAAGTGATCACACTCAAGAAGCCATGGATAATATGGATACCTATATTATCCACTCGTTAACCTATTTTCTCTCCATATTAAATATGGGCGGGTCAGATATTTTATCCGTTTTTGCATTACCCGTTTTCGACCCACCCATATTCAATCCAACCCAACCTGCCCGTTTGCCACCCCTATTCATAACCGAACCTAGTAGCTTTGACTCGGACCCTATATGTGTTAAGAAATCCATTAAAGCATAAATAGTAGATTTTGGACCAAGCAAATCAAATGTGCTGTGGTGAGTTTTGAACTCGACCCTATAAAGTTCCTAGATTTGCCTCTAGCGACAATATGATGTGCTTCAAAGACAATACCTTACCCTATTTCCTAAAACTTTTACTTACTTTTCAATAGCTAGGATGAACAAAGTAAGACAACACAATTGTGAAAATCAGAATATATGAATCCTCACCGACCATGTTACTCTATTTAAACTCATCTCGTACCATTATATGCAAATTCTAATAAGAAGGTAGTAGAAGTTCTCTAACTAATTCCTGGGGAAACATGTGGTTTATTGGGTTAACTACATCTAACGGCCAAAAACAACAAAATACAGAAATNCCTTTTCTTCCCACTCAATTATTTGCTGTTTTGGAATTGTGCTGGGTTTTTTAAGGGGTTTTAGCTCAATACTAAAGTCCAATAATTTGCTGGTTACAGCGGCTCTCTCTCTCTCTCTCTGACTACAGTCGGAAGTGGGAATTGGCACTTTTGGTTATCACCGAATTCGAGAAGATGACAAAAGTTGTCCCTATGTTCGGGATAGGTTTAGAATAGTCTCTTAAGTATATTCTTAAGCAATTCTAATCCCTAAGTTTGTCAAAAGTAAGTACTTTTGGTCATCGTCGAGTATTTAATAAACTTTAGTTGTTAAAATTTATCGGAAACAACTTTACCTTTTCAAACTAGGGGTAAGGTCTGCATAGGGGTGTACAAAGAAAACCGACAAATTACACCAATCCGATAATCCGAGTCAAACCGAGAAAAAAACCCCGACTATGGTTTGATTTGATTTGGTTTGGTGTGGAAAAAACCCGACCATAATTGGTTTGGTTTGATTTTAACTAAAGAAAGTCAAACCGAAACCA